CCCCCCGAGCAGCTTCTGCCCCATCACTTGCAGCGTGCCCCCCGGGGCACCCATCACAAGTGTATCCATGGCACCTCGGGGGGCAGCGGGAGGTGGCACAGGGGATCCGGGGGGGACACTGAAGGAGAGCGGCTGGAGTGACATATGTAGCATGGGTTTATAAAGGGTCAGTCAGTTTACCTCTATGAGATGCTGTCTCAGCTGAAAGACCAGGGACTCTTTTGTGTCTTTGAGGGGACCTGGATGTCCCACTGCAAAGGGGTGCCAAGATCAAATGGTCCAGCAAGGGTTAAGGCACATTTAATATCTGCAGAGCTGCTCCGGAAAGCTGACATCTTTGAACGAAACTTCCTCTTTTCAGCATTTGCAGCCAAAATCTGCTCACCTACCTGATGACAGCAAGTGCTTTGCTGGGCCGGACCTGCAGAGGCTGGGGGGGGGGGCGGCTCTGACACCTTTCCCAGTGCTCGGCTTGGCCATGGCAAGGACCTTTCGCTGGGGGAGCAGGGACGGGCAAGCAATGGAGGGATGTGGCACGAGGTGAGGGCTGCATAGCAAGTAGACCGAAGAACTGGCTGCTGGCGAGGAGCTGGGAAATGCTGGCTCTGCTAATCACAGAGGAAGGATGAATTGGGAAGTCTGTAGGGCTGCTTTTTATTGTGGTGCTTTTTGGATGGCAGCTTCACTCCCAGATTTGGAAAGCAGATGATCAGGGAAGGAAATGAGGTTCTGGCTTTCCTCCCGTCGCCCCAGGGGGTCCAAGCCGGAGTCACCTTCCCAGGCTCCCTAACCCTGCCCATTGCTGTCGCCAGCCGGGGATTGGTATCAGCTGCTGGGGCACCTCTGGAGAAGGGGTTTGCAGCAGCCTTGGCCCCCCAGCCTGGCTGCGGCAGCAGCTGGGGGGTGCAGGGGGTGCGCAGGAGCTACTTTTGCAGAGCATGCAGGAAAGCTGTGCTGAGGGGCCTCTGGCCAAACCCGGACTTCAGACCTGACTCCTGTCGGGGAGCAGGGTTTGTGCCTAATTCCTTCCGTGGTCCCTCAGGATGAGTTGAGCTAGGAAAACCCCACAGCGGGATCCCTGCTCCCCACAACACATCTATGACGTTGTTGCAGGCTGGGGCAGGGGGCTTTCTTCCGAGTTACTCACCTGAGAAAGGCAGAGGCAGCCACGAAGAGGCAGGAGCAGCGCCCAGACCGCCCCTTTGCTCCCGGCCAAATGGTGGCCGACGCTGAGGTGCCCGGTCCCGTTGCTCTCAATGAGGAGGAGCGGAGGCCTGGCAAAAGGGAGATGTGAATCACTGAGAAGGAGACAGAAAAAGTCCTCCAGGACTTGGCAATGTTAGGGGCAGCACCGTGGGTAGCAAAACCAAGGACTGCTGAAAGCCAAAGAGCATGGTAGGAGGAGGCAAAATCCACTGAGGTCTCCCTGGCAATGCTGGCAGTTTCTTGCTTATGTTAACAAGAATTGCAGCTCATTTCAGATCTAATCCTGTGACAAAAAAGGTGTTATTCAGAGGGTAGAGATGAACCTCATGCTTCCTGCTGCTGGTCAGGTGAGCAGGCAGGGACAGGCTCTCCTGCTGCAAGAGGCGCCCAGCAGATAAATGCTGCTGGGCACATTGGAATCAACTGATGGCTGTGGTATTAAAAAAAAGCCCAAAAAAGCCCAGCCTCCAGTGTGGGAAAGGGCAGCAGCCTTACGGGCCAGGAGCGGGGAAGAGGATGGAGATGCTCAGAGCTCTCCCCAGCCTCCCCTTAATTGCCCCGTGCAAGGGAGGCCAGGGACACGCAGTTATTAACAGAGGGGTGACTTGGGGGGCTGTTGCAGGTGGCAGCTTTTAGGTGTCTGGAAAAGCAGGAGCTCGATGCGGGTGCAGCTCTGCCCTAACTCCATCCCCGCTGAAGTCAAGGGGCATTTCATCACCCACACTGAGGGGCGAGGGTTTTGGAAAGCCTCCCTTCAGGACTGCTTTTTGTGCCTGAGCCTGGCACCACTGTGCTTTCCCAAGCCTGAGGATCCCTGGTTTAATCCACCGGAGCCTGCGACAAGCGGCACACTCACCGTGCAAAACTCAGCAGCCCTGGCACCTGGGGGAGGCCATAGCTGTGCTTTTTTTGGGGGGGGATGCTTCTCAATCCCCTTTTCTGCCCCTGCATGACCCACACCCTGGCAGGTGTTTCAGTAAGAGCGGGCAGCTGGGAGTCAGACAAGCTGGGTACCGCTGTGGGTTGCAACATGGGTTGCTCCCTCCCTCCCAAAGGACGGGGATAAGGGAGAGGCACAAACATAGTGCCATTACAGCTTTTAAATGGCCCCGAGTCAGGGTGTATGCCCTGAGCACGGCATCAGTAGGGCCATAATGGTGGGGAGGGAGTGGGCCAGGGCATCAGCAGGTTATGGGGCTGGGACCCCCATCTGTCCACCCCTCTGGAAAGCTTCAGGCCTGATGGCTGGGCAGAGAGATTCTCGGTCCTTCCTGCTCACTCAGTTTTAGCCCCGGGATGACAGCAATCGTGCCGCGTGTTGTTTCGTGTTCCCCAGGGCAGCACTGCTCCGGACTCGGCACCTCGCGCCTGGGTGGCGAGGACCTCCCAGCAAGGCAGATCGGTCCCTCCTGGTAAGTGGCTCCCGCTACTCAGTGGCTGATGCGGGGCGGGGATCTGGGCTCTGCTCTGATGCACAGCAGCCGGCAAACCGGAGACCCGGCTCAGAAGGATTCCGCAGCAGAACTCATAAATGTCATAGGCAGCGATGCCTACTGGGGAAGGCTGATAAATCCAACCAGTGCCTCCTGAATATCACTGGGGAAAAGCCTAGGGACACTCAGGAGCATGTGGGAAACTGGTGCAAGCCCAGGCCAGGCAAGGTGAGACCAGTGCTCAACCAAGAGCCACAAGGTCCCCGAGCCCCGGGAAAGCAGGATGCTGAATAGGGGTGCAGCAAGGGAGGGCTCAGCCCCGAGCTAGACCAACTCAGACGGGGAATTCAAAGGGGTCGTGGAGTGTCGGGAAGGGGCAGCAAATTTTCCCCCAAGTGGGACATGAGAAGCAGCTGTATTTACCCGCTGCAAGAGCTTGGCTTAGCCAGGCACCCGCTGCCTATCCTTAATCACTGGCAGCAGGGCTGGGGGCCTGTGGGCTCTCCTCCCTCTGCGGGGAGGGAGCAGGACTGCCGCTCAGTGAGGGGGTCCCAGTGATGAGCCAGGGGGATTTCCCTGTCCTGAGGTGCCTTGGGGTGCAACCAAGTGTGAAACGGGGTGCAGCGGGGCTGTGAGGAGGGGTGCGGGGAGGCTGGGCGCTGCTGATGAGACCGATGTCTCGTGATGAAGCCCGGTGGAGGTGTTTTTTGGGTGCTCCCACTGCACGAGCTTTCTCCCCTTTTCTCTGGCAGCCATGCCCCACTTCTTGGATTGGTTTGTGCCGGTGTATCTGATGATCTCCATTCTCATCCTGGTGGGCTTTGGAGCTTGCATTTACTACTTCGAGCCAGGACTCCAGGAAGCCCATAAGTGGCGAACACAGAGGCCGATCATGGAACGAGACCTTCGGAAGACACTGATGATTCGGGACAACCTGGCCTTCGGGGTGCCTGAGGTCTGATGCTGCCCGTCAAGTCCAGAAGAGCCTCTCCTGGGTAGGCAGCAGTCCACAAGCCTCGGTAGGGATGGCAGCCCTGCCCTGCGCCAGCGGGGCTGATCGTCACTTCGCTCTTTGCTGATCTGGGTCTCGCACTCACCGCTCACCTTTCTGCCCCTTTGCTTCTTAGGCAAGGTTTGTGTGGCGCTGTAGACTCGAGGCTTCCCACACGCTCACAGCCCTTCACCCAGCCAAGGACTTCAGCTCCTTCCCATGGTCAAGACTGATGAATCACTCAAATGAAAGGTCCCTTGCTAATCATTTGAGTTTGAGCTGCCTGGCATCTTGAGAAACTACCCTCTGTAAGAAAGGTCTCTGCAGGGGTATCAGGCTTGCAAAGGGGTACAGAGCCTTTTACCCTAGTCACTGGGTTAAATCTAACTCAGTTTGTTTAAGTCCAGGGGGTATTTTGGGGGAAATAAATGGGATTTCAGTCCAGACTGTTGCTTAAGCTGAGCTTTTCACAGCACTCACCCTTGGTGCTGGGATGATAAGCTTGCTGAAGCTCTGTGCAGAGCGGCCAAGGGCTCAGCGAGCCCCAGAGACTGAATGCCTTTATCCCTGCTAAAGGCGCACCGCTTCTCTGTGCCTGTTTGGGAGAATATCCATCCATCCACCCATCCATCCATCCATTCCAGATGCACTACATTCAAATTAAAGATCTTTAGTAAAGAAGTTTGTCCAAGTCCTGTGTGAAGCTGAGAGTATTCTGCAGCTCTCCATGAAGGGGTGCTGCCAGACTTACCACATACGCCTCTCCCGGTCTCCTCTGCCGCGGAGTGAGATGGGATAGACTGGGACGCAGCTTGCACTTGTTCAGTCCCCTGCTCTCCGGAGTCCTGTGGCATGGATGGGCTAAGAGGGACATTCACATCTTCTCCCTCCCTGCCAGCCCAGTGCAATGCCCAGTGTGTAGAGGGAGGTTTGGGGGAGCTCTGAACCCGTGACAGGAGGTCGTGCCAAGAGCCTCTCTTCACCTCCCCTCCCAGCCCAACACCCACCCTTTGGATGCCATAGGTGCAGCAGTGCTACCTGCAAGCGCTCTGGACACAGCGGGGTCCTGTGTGCCCCACTCCCACACGTCCCAGGGGATGTCAGCCGGCTGCCACCACCCCAGTGTGCACGTGTCTGTGCATCCTGTGCTGTCATCTGGGCCTGCCAGTATCGGGGCGACCCACATCTTCAGCGTGCTCCTGGGGTGCCAGCTCTGTGCCGTAGTCCCCGACGGCTCCTTTGGGCAGCAGGAGTCCCTCGGGCCGGCTGCCCAAATCTGCCACAGATCCCGGATGGACTCATGTCACTCAGCCTTTCCTGTGAACCTGTCAGGGGAGGTTTTCTCCTTCGTTCCCAAAGTTTTCCAAAGAGGAGAGTGCACTGGGCTGGTCTGAGTGAGTGATGCTTCATTGGTAATTCTCTGGGGATGAAAGTTAATTTTTAGCTCTAAGGGTTTTGGCTGAGGAAGGAATGGGTCAGGACATCCTGTAAATATCCTGGGTCTTTCTGGGACATTTCACCCATCCACCATTATCTTGCACACCAAAACCAGGCACACTGGCAGGAGTTTTTTAGCTCTGTTTCAGCCAGAGGACAAGCCGAGAGTCCTTCCATTCAGCCAAAAAAGAGAGATTGTGATGCGAGTACCCTAACTGGGGAGTCTCGCTCGGCAGGGAAATGCAGTGAGCAGGATTACTCCTGTGCCCAAAGTTACGCTCACCCTGGCAAGCAAAGGCTCAAAGCACAACCTGAAACAGATGAATCCCATGTATTTTTGTGCCTTGGTGATTTGGGGCTGCAAAAGGGAAATGCTGCGGGGCTGGGCTGCATGGTCTGACATCCCACCCTCGGCTGTGTGGTTCACGTCCCCTGCCCTCCAGCACAACACAGCCATATCTCCAAGCGCCAGCTTGGAAACCTCCTTCCTTGCTTCGACTCCCTCGTAGCTGGGACAGCACCGCAAACGGACCCCCAGCTGGGTCATGGGGTAGCAATAAAAACCTCTGTACTGGAGCTGAGGGGCTTGGAGCAGTCAGGGACAGCTTGAACCGTCCCTGTGGGAAGGGGAGCCTGGTCCCCACGGCCTGCATCAGCGCAGGCTGCTCTGCCATAGCACCTCCTCCAAACCCACTTTCACCTGCTGACTCAAAAGAGAAGAGGGAAAACCACCAGCCTGGTAAAAATGAAAGGCTGGGTCTGCCACCACCGCTCTCGGCCAGCTGGCAACTGTGGTGCGATGGGGCTTCCCGCGGGGCTTCCCTCTCCCCTCCTCTGTGTCCTTCTCTGCGCATCGTCCTGCCTGTTTTCACCTCTGCTCTGCCCATGACTCACCACAGATACCGAGCAAAAAGAAGATGACAAACAGACCAGGGCTGGACTAGAGAGAAATAGAGTTATTTATCTCCTCTGGCTTATGTTTCGCACTGTTTAGTCCTGACGCAATCAGTATTAAACCAGGTATTTTCCACGGGTACAAAGGACTTTATTGTCAACGGTGTCAAAGTCCTCCCCAGAGGAATAAAAGTGTGTAACAAGCCGTGCGGCCGACGCTTTATTTTCCTGTTGTTCCCCCTGGGAGCTGCCTCCCTCCAGCTCGGGGCAGGCAGCAAGGACCAGTCTGCAGCAAGGTTTCCTTTACAGCAGGGTAGGTCTTCATCTGCCTGGCTTCTATGCTGGCTACGCTGCAGGGCTATCTGGGAATAATTAAGCCAAAGGCAAACGCTGCCTGAAAACTGAGACTGTTTTTCCCCTGTGGGACCTGTGCAGCCAGAGAGACCTCAGGGGAGAGGGAAATAGTCACAGATACTGAATTAAATTGCATAAAGCATCAGAGAAGATACTTAGTGCTAGAAATACTGCACAGCACCAGGTTGGTATTTTCTACTTTCTCTGTCTCTTTGCCTTTAAAGAAGCAGAGAAGTTACACCACCCTGAGCCCTGCCTTCCCCCAGCACTCCCCATAGCTCGCTGCGGGTCACGGGATGGTGGTTCCCCATCCACCCCTCAGCCCTGGCCACCCGAAGGCAGGCAAGCATCACCCCTGCCATACTGTGGGTACTATGGGTGCCCAGCCCTCCTTCTCTTTGCTCCTGTTCGCCCACCAAACCACGCATCTCCTCCTCCCTCCCCACCAAAACGCCTTTTTCCTTTCCTCTTTGGTTAGGGCGTTGTCCTTCAAAGTCTCTGTTACAGTGAGGAAGGCGTAGAGCGGCAAGCTGACTCCCTGTAATGGATGCCCTCTTGACCCTGAAAATGCCTCGAAGCTGGCAAAATTAGGAAACAATCAGAATAACAAAGAAGCAAAAGAAAATCAAAATAAGGGAAAGAAGCATCAACCTGGATGAACACCCGACAAGCGAACACTGAACTTCCTCAATGGGGCATAAATCGTTGAACTGGAATCTGCCATTTCAGGGAAAAAAAAGAAGAGGAAGGGAAAACATTTCAAAAATTCAGAGATTTTAATTTTGTTTTTAAAATCGCACCCATTGTCCTCAGGAGCAGGCGGCACAGGCTTGGCCGGGTGGGTCCGCACCGCTCCTCCACCTCCCACCATGAGAGCGGGGCAGGGGGCGGTGGCGTGGGGCTGCCCATGGCGTGGGGCTGCCCACGGTTGTGGGGCTGCCTGCGGCATGGGGCTGCCGGGGGCGGGGGGCCGGGAGGGGGTG